CAAGAACAGAGCAAAGTAATTATTTCTGAGAGGAGAAAGTAGGAAGTGGTTGCCAGGGAACCGGGGAGAGAGGCATTGGTGTTTGTTTTCATTGCCAGAGCCGAGGGCAGAGTGCAGGGAGCCGAGAAAGGAGACTATTTCAATAGGAGACGGGCTGTTTAACCCCTGCACTGCTGCCGCCAAGGACCACAGACAATAAGCCCTCGAGGCAGCTCCTTTGTGAGCCTAAACATTCGTGGCGGCTAGTTCTCACATTTGGTCATTGTCAGAAATTGGCCTACTTTTCACAAAACCATTTTCTGACCGCTACCGAGTGTGAGAGCGAGCAGCTATGGCAGAGTTTTCAGAGTCTGGCAGAACCTGCTGGGATTTGTAGTTCTTAAGTGGCTGGTGCGGCACAATTTACTTGGGCTTGTTATACTTTAGAGCAGGGTTGGGCAACTCCGGCCCTCCAGCTGTTGTGGAACTACAAGTCCCACGAGGCATTGCAAGACTCTGACAGTTACAGGCATGACTCCCAGAGGCAAATGCATGATGGGATTTGCAGTTTCACCACAGCTGGAGGGGCGAAGTTGCCCACCCCTGCCTTACAAGTGGTGGAAGTACAAGCCCCAGCATACATTGCCTGTTGGGGCTTCTCAGTGACATCATCCCCAGCACACTACAGTACTGAGAATCAAAATATTCTGTGCGTTATTATTGATAATTACATTTTATCTTTAGTTAGTTATACTGTACTCACTGGCTCCTGGGCAGACTGTCTCCTGGGTTGGACAGACTGTCTCCTGGGTTGGACAGACTGTCTCCTGGGTTGGACAGACTGTCTCCTGGGTTGGACAGACTGTCTCCTGGGTTGGATAGACTGTCTCCTGGGTTGGATAGACTGTCTCCTGGGTTGGATAGACTGTCTCCTGGGTTGGAAAGACTGTCTCCTGGGTTGGATAGACTGTCTCCTGAGTTGGACAGACTGGCTCCTGGGTTGGATAGACTGTCTCCTGGGTTGGACAGACTGTCTCCTGGGTTGGACAGACTGTCTCCTGGGTTGGATAGACTGTCTCCTGGGTTGGACAGACTGTCTCCTGGGTTGGACAGACTGGCTCCTGGATTGGATCAGTGTTGCCAACTCTGGCCCTCCGGTTGATATAGACCAGCAAGTCCCATGAGGCAAAGACATGATGGGATTTGTAGTTAAAGTACGGTTGGAGTTGCCCACCCCTGCACTAAGTTCATGGCACTCTCCAAAATAAGAATGGCTGATGGCAGTATTCAATGCTTCATTGTTCATGCTATAGAATTTCACATCACATATAAAATTGCTGAGCTCCGTGTCTGACTGCCCATCTTCCCCATTCAGGTGAATGGACAGAATGTGGAAAACATGAAGCATTCCGAAGTGGTGGCCAACATCAAATCCAAGGAAAATGAGACCACGTTACTTGTGGTGGACCCAGACACAGATGACTACTTCAAGAAGCTGGGACTCGCCCCCACAGAAGCCTATATAAAAGGAGGTATGAACCGTCCGCCAAACTGTACTATGATAGGATGGGGTTTTTGAAAGTGGACCTGTCATCTACAATTCAATGAACCTTACGACCTTGCAACTGATTGTGAATGCCACTGATCATGTGATATTGTATTGCCTGCTTCTTGTATGTCTGTATGACGTACATCATTATTTATTAGGGTGTTATCTGCCCATGGGTTGCTTCCATTGGATTATAGAGCCTTCTGGGGGTTATAGCTGTGGGTAACAGGACAGCCGTAGTAAACCAAAGTATACCCAGCTATTACTAATCTTATTAGTGCTCTTACTATTGCGATTGATCGCATACTGTGACTTGAACGTCTCAGTTCAAGTCACAGTATGACTTTGACTGGACAGTGAAAAGAGGAGCAGCACACTGATGAGCTCATCTCTCTGTCACTGTGCCCTCCTATCAGCATGCTCCGTGCACTGTAACACACCTGATTGTGCTGCTTCTCCCATCCGTCCCTGACCACTGCTGTCAGCAGAGGTGGGGAAAATGTTACAACTGACATTTCTGATTATATGGTATGTGTAGCAGTGACAATACCCTACCAAAAAACCTGTACTGAGAGAAATACAAAGACTGCCACAGCAGACCCCCCTTCTGAAAATAAATTCCCTGGCCTTGACCTGGAACAAGCATGCAGTTTAGAAAAGTCAGAGTGAACGCCATACTTCCTCTAGCACTGAAGGCCCTGGATCAGCATGGCAGTCAGGGAACTAGTATTTCAGATTGGGAGGACAGCAATGGCAGGCTCTATGGGTTGTCATTAAACTTTGTAGTCAGAAAACACTGATTTCCATTTAGTAACATAAGACCTCTGATCTGATACATTCTGTACATTTGTATTTCCAGGTTCCATTCCCCTGCCACTGACTAATGGAACGACCAAGACACAGGTTAGTGCACGGTGTAACAAAAAAGCAAAAACACAATCAAAAATGAGTCAAGCAAAACAGCTTGCCGTTGTGATGTGCGGGGTCCCTTGTGTGTCCCTGTGCCTTTAAGGAGGTTGAGCTGCCTCCTGGCGAACCTGCACCCAATTTTATCTTTTGCTACATGTGCTCCAAGATGGAGACTCTCATAGGTTAGAGTTAGGACCGCACTACACAGAGGGGCCTTGACGTGGCTGTGCGGCTTTCACATATTCTGCAGAAGACGTGTATCTAAAACCTCTGTTTTTAACCTTAGCGGTGAGACAGGTTTTTTTTTGCATGCTGGCTGGTGAGTGTGCTGGGAAACTTTTTGCTGTTCTACAATCAAAAATGAGACACGAGATTCTTTCCAAAAAGGAACTTGATTCCAAATTCTAATATTGTGATATGTTAAATCCGGCTGGAATACAAAGATGATGTCTGAACAAAGATGGAGCTGTCCTGGAGAGAAGAGCAGCTGAGGGCATTTTCAGGGGGAGTATTGTGATCTCTGTGAGAGGTGATAGATACCTGGAAGTGTTACACTGACATATTAATTAGCAGCAGGGACTATGTATTGGGTGATATGTCCACTTCAGCTGGATAGTAAAGGGAAAATAGAGTAAGCTGATTCCTTTAGATGTGCACTGCCAGGTCCCTGGAATACCTCACATTCCTGAAGGTGGAACAGCTGATCATCTGCTGTATGTCTTGGCAGAATTATTACTGACACCATGGTGCCAGAACGTAAGAGGTTTCGTCTGCACGCTCCAAGATCCAGCAGAACTCTCAGCTGACACGCCTAATGATTGCTGCAGGGCTTGAGGAGTAAATCTGATGGTTGAAAACCACAAGGACGGACCCCAGCTGGACACCTGCCTTTGTATTGGTTCTTTTATTCATGTACAATGAAGGCAGCTTAAGATTCAACTGGCAGGCCTACGACCAATCCACAGCAGGGACAGAAGATCCAACTGACAACACTACGAAGAATCCACGGCAGGGACAGAAGATCCAACTGACAACCCTACGAGGAATCCACGGCAGGGACAGAAGATCCAAGCGAACGCCCTACAAGGAATCCACCGCAGGGACAGAAGATCCAACTGACAGCCCAACGAGAAATCCACCGCAGGGACAGAAGATACAACTGACAACACTACAAGGAATCCACCGCAGGGACAGAAGATCCAATCGAACGCCCTACGAGGAATCTACCACAGGGACAGAAGTTCCAACTGACAGCCCAAGGAGGAATCCACCACAGGGACAGAAGATACAACTGACAGCCATACGAGGAATCCACCGCAGGGACAGAAGATCCAAGCGAACGCCCTACGAGGAATCCACCGCAGGGACAGAAGTTCCAACTGACAGCCCTACGAGGAATCCACCACAGGAACAGAAGATACAACTGACAGCCCTACGAGGAATCCACCACAGGAACAGAAGATACAACTGACAGCCCTACGAGGAATCCACCACAGGAACAGAAGTTCCAACTGACAGCCCTACGAGGAATCCACCACAGGTACAGAAGTTCCAACTGACAGCCCTACGAGGAATCCACCACAGGGACAGAAGATCCAACTGACAGCCCTACGAGGAATCCACCGCAGGTACAGAAGATACAACTGACAGCCCTACGAGGAATCCACCACAGGGACAGAAGATCCAACTGACAGCCCTACGAGGAATCCACCACAGGGACAGAAGATCCAACTGACAGCCCTACAAGGAATCCACCACAGGAACAGAAGATCCAACTGACAGCCCTACGAGCAGTTTACCAGTTTGGGTGCTGGCTATTGTGACATGTCATGAATGTAAAGGTCCACTTTAAGCCGAGGCTCTGAGTTGTTGCAGTGGCCTTCATGACGTTTTTTTTCCCCCTGGCTGCAGTTTTCATATACAAACCATATTTTGCCCCCTTCTTGGCGCTCGCTGTGCTTCAGGTCATGTGAGATGAACACAGCACATTTTATTACCATAAACAGATCGTAGAATTCCTGGATGCCGCAATAAATCAGCTGTTCTGCATGCTGGGTGTAACTGTGTTTGGACGCATCTCCTTTAATAATGATGACAGACATTGTGGCGTGTTGATCCAGTTTGCATATCAGACATTTTCGACCTACATCTGAGCAGGAGGTTCAGCTGATCAAAGTGTACCTGTCACCAAGAGAAAGCTGATACAGTCATTTCCCTGGACATGGATTACCACAGGGCTTAAAGTGTATCTAAACCCAAGAACAAAATGATAATATAGTGCAGCTTATCTGTCCTTAGATGTGGCAACTGCATTCGTTTCCTTCCTTTATTTTTCTCCTGGTGATCCTGCCAGTAACACACTTCCTGTCCTAAGGTGACAACATGCATTTTCTGTATTGTATCTATGGTCTATGGAGGAGCAGTGTTGTCACCCTAGTACAGGATACAGAACACCTCCCCTTCTTCTCCTTTCCA